CCCAGAAGGCACCCGCCCCTTTAAACATAAACAAATGTTAGGATAATCATGAGAAGTAGAATAATTAGTACAAACTGAGTCTGGACTTCCCCACAAGGCTCCCGGCCCATTGAAAATAAGTAGAACAGTTAGACTTGTGAATGCTTAGACTAGTTAGAACAAACATTAATATTGAATTCCCCAAAGGTACCCCTCCATTTGGAAAGCAAATAAGATAATGACAATAGTTTAAATCGAAGAATTACGCTAGATTAAATTGAAGAATTATTGTAATTAGACAGTGAGCCTGGATGTTCAGAAGGCACCCGCCCCGTTGGAAATAAATGTTGGAAGAATCATGAGAAGTATATTAATTAGCACAAACTCCCGGCCGATTGAAAATAAGTAGAAGAGTTGGAGTTGTGAACGCTTAGACTAGTTAGAACAAACATGAATATTGAATTCTCCAAAAGGTACCCCTCCATTTGGGACGCACATAAGATAATGATAGTACTTGTAAGAAGTAGAATAATTAAAACAAGCATAGATCTGGAAGTGGCCAAACGGCTCCTGTCCCCTGGTGAAATTGAACCTGAAAATTCCCAAGCACGCGGGGAATAATGGGAATAATGGGAGGAATTAGAGACTTAGAAGACATGGATTTGGAATTCCCAACTGTCACCCTCTCTACTCACCAAAAGAAGGCTGCTCATCTGGAAATTTTTCAAATGATTGGAACAGTGTGGGAAACTATGGAACTCACCAAAAGGCCCCATCTCTTTTGATAAAAGTATCATACCTAGAGCAAAAACGAGTCTGGAATTCTGTAAAAGGCACCCCCGCCGCCTAGGGACTAACTAGAAGAATGGGAACAGTTACGATAAGTAGAAAGAAACCATAAAATCATATTGTATTTTCCAAAAGGCACCCGTCCCTTTGTGAGTACTTAGCAGAATTAGAACAACCAGAAGAAGTAGACAAATCAGGGCAAAAAGGAATCTGAAAATCCTCAACAGGCGCCCGCCCCTTTCGGAATAAGCAGAGAACGTCGAATAGCAATGATTCCTTGCGAAAAATGATTGGAACAGATCAAATTAGAACAAAGGTGAATCTGGAATTCTCCAAAAAGCACCCGAATCCTTACAATTAGAAGAACTAGAAGAATTGTGTTAAATAACGTAATTTGCAAGATGAATCTTGAATTCCTCAAAAGGCACCCGCCCCTTTGGGAATAATCAGAATAATTAGAGAGTTAGAAAAATTGGCACAACCAATAATCTGGAATTCGCCCAAAAGGCACCCGTCCCTTGGGCAATGGATAGAATATGAAACTACTCAGGATAGTTAGACAGGCACCTATCCAGTTGGGAACAAGTAGAATATTTAGAACAACTAGCAAAACGTATATTCTCTTATCGTTCTGGATATTCGGATCAATGGGAAAAGTAGTCAATTAGAAGTCAATGAATCGGGAATTCCGCCCAACAGGGCACCTGTCCCTTTCGGAATACATGAGTAGAACAATTTGAAACATGGATCTGGGGTTCCCCAAAGGGCATCCTTCCCCTGAGGAATAATTAGAACAGCTTAAATAATTACAGGAACTTGCAAATAAAGTGATGTTGATTTCCTGAGAAGGCACGCGCCCCTGTTTGAACAGTTAGAATAAGCCGAGTGGCTAGAAAAACAAAGGGCGTTATCTGGTCTGTGTTGTTTAGTATTCTAATTCGGTAGACTCATTTTAATAACTAGAACAGATACACACGATCTACGCGTACTTCCCCCAAAGGCACCCACCCCTGTGGGAACAATAAGTGAAATGTTTGGAATAATGAGAGTCACAAGGCGATTGTTTAACTGATTCAAGCTTGAAGAAGTGGAACAATTAGGACAAAGAGGAATCATTGGACGAGTTAAAACAGATGCATCTGGAATTCCCCAAAAGGCACCTACCTGTCTCTTGCAGAAAGACGAGTAATAGGGAACAATGTTTTAATTATACTACTTATCCAAACTCTTAGACTAAGTAGATCAACTAGCAACAATGAATTTGGATTTTCCCCAAAAAGGCACGCGTCCCAGGGGTACCCCTTTATTTGGGAAGCAAATAAGACAATGATAATAGTTTAAATCGAAGAATTAGGCTAGATTAATATAAATAGAAGAAATATTGTAAATAGACAGTGAGCCTGGATGTTCAGAAGGCGACCCCCCACCCCCCTTTGGAAATAAATGTTAGAACAATCATGAGAAGTAGAATAATTAGCACAAACTGAGTCTGGACTTCCCCACAAGGCTCCCGGCACATTGAAAATAAGTAGAACAGTTAGACTTGTGAATGCTTAGACTAGTTAGAACAAACATTAATATTGAATTCCCCAAAGGTACCCCTCCATTTGGAAAGCAAATAAGATAATGACAATAGTTTAAATCGAAGAATTACGCTAGATTAAATTGAGAATTATTGTAATTAGACAGTGAGCCTGGATGTTCAGAAGGCACCCGCCCCGTTGGAAATAAATGTTGGAAGAATCATGAGAAGTAGATTAATTAGCACAAACTCCCGGCCGATTGAAAATAAGTAGAAGAGTTGGAGTTGTGAACGCTTAGACTAGTTAGAACAAACATGAATATTGAATTCTCCAAAAGGTACTCCTCCATTTGGGACGCACATAAGCACATAAGATAATGATAGTACTTATAAGAAGTAGAAGAATTAGAACAAGCTTAGATCTGGAATTGGCCAAACGGCTCCTGTTTCCTGGTGAAATTGAACCTGAAAATTCCCAAGCACGCGGGGAATAATGGGAATAATGGGAGGAATTAGAGACTTAGAAGACATGGATTTGGAATTCCCAACTGTCACCCTCTCTACTCACCAAAAGAAGGTTGCTCAGCTGGAAATTTTTCAAATGATTGGAACAGTGTGGGAAAACTATGGAATTCACCAAAAGGCCCCATCTCTTTTGATAAAAGTATCATACCTAGAGCAAACACGAGTCTGAAATTCTGTAAAAGGCACCCCCACCCCCTAGAGATTACAATTAGAAGAACTAGAAGAATTGTGTTAAATAAAGTAATTTGCAAGATGAATCTTGAATTCCTCAAAAGGCACCGGAATAATCAGAATAATTAGAGAGTTAGAAACATTGGCACAAACACTAATCTGGAATTCGCCCAAAAGGCACCCGTCCCTTGGGCAATGGATAGAATATGAAACTACTCAGGATAGCTGGAGCAAACATGAGTCTGGAATTCCCAAACAGGCACCTGTCCAGTTGGGAACAAGTATAATATTTAGAACAGTTAGCAAAACATATATTCTCTTATCGTCCTGGATATTCGGATCAATGGGAACAGTAGTCAATTAGAAGTCAATGAATCGGGAATTCCGCCCAACAGGGCACCTGTCCCTTTCGGAATACATGAGTAGAACAATTTGAAACATGGATCTGGGGTTCCCCAAAGGGCATCCTTCCCCTGAGGAATAACTAGAACAGCTTGAACAATTACAGGAACTTGCAAATAAAGTGATGTTGATTTCCTGAGAAGGCACGCGCCCCTGTTTGAACAGTTAGAATAAACCGAGTGGCTAGAAAAACAAAGGGCGTTATCTGGTCTGTGTTGTTTAATATGCTAATTCGGTAGACTCATTTTAATAACTAGAACAGATACACACGATTTACGCGTACAAATACGGCTACGCGTCTTCGTCTTATTCTATTTATTTCACCGAGTTGGAACCACTCCAAGACTTGAAATGATCTAAACACATCTGCCATTTCCCCAAGGGCCCCTCGGGAAAAAATAGAGTAACGAGAATGGTTCTGACACTTGCGTATTGCAAACATGAATCTTGAATTCCACAATAATTGGTGTAATTGGACAAATCAACCGTAGAATGATTAGAACAGACACTGAATCTGGATTTCCCCAAAGGGTGCCCGTCCCTTTGGAATACTTAGAATGATAATATCAAGAATCATTAGACGAATTAAATCAATTGCATCTGGAATTCCCCAAAAGGCACCTGTCCCTTTCAGAAACATGAGTAATAGGGAACTGTGTTCTAATTATACTACTTATCCAAGTTCTTAGCATAAGTAGATCAACTAGCAACAATGAATTGGTTAGTTTCTCAAAAGGCACGCGTCCCTTTGGGAATAACTAGCATAACCCGAATAATCAGAAGAGTATAGCCAGGAAATCCACGAAAGCACCCAACCCATTTTGAATAAATCGAAGAATTAGGCTAGTTAGAACATCATTGTAATTAGACAGCGAGTCTGGATTTCCCCAGAAAGCACCCAAGTAGAATGATTAGCTCAAAGTGAATCTGGACATTCCCAACAAGGCGCCCGGCCACTGAAAAACAGAATGTTAGAATTGTGAGAATGCTTAGAATGATTAGAACAAGCATGAGTGTTGCATTTCCCGAAAGGAAGCCCTCGCTTTGGCAATGAAATAAGATAAGATAGTAGGTTTAGAAGCAGAATAGTTAGAGCAAGCATGGATCTGAAATTCGCCAAAGGGCTCCAGTCCCTTGCGGGAACAAAACAATTAGAATAGCTGCACAAAAATGGAAGTTGCGTTGAAGATCCAAAGCACGCCCGTCCATTCGGGAATATTTGGAAGAATTAGACACTTAGAAGAATTGGATTTGGCATTCCTCAACAGTCACCCGCCCCTGTAAAAGTATATGGAGTGATTCGAATAATGAAAACAACAAGGGGCGTGCGGGTCATGTGAGCCACGCGCGCGCGCGCGCCACATTATACATGGTCTACCCTTCCACCCCCCCCCCCCTACCCCCCCATTATCCCGTCCTCCACACAATACACAATCATTCCACTCTTTAATATATTCTATCAAGGCAAAGCACGTGTGGCAACAACAAACTGAGACCTGCGGCACAACCACAAGCGCAGTTTTGGACCCGGATGAAACACGCCCGTTTTTGTTTTTTTGTGTCTTCCCTTTCCTCTTCCCTCTTTCCCCTCCTTTTTCATTTCCCTCGGAAGGTCTCATCGGAGCCCAGCGAATTGGGGGCAGAGCTGGGTGTCGTTTTCGAGCTGCGTGAGAGCACCCCGGGCGTGCACGACCATCTTCGTCGCATGGCCAAAGGTGGAAGGGCTGGGTAGATCCCTCCCAGGGGGTGTCCCTCAAACCAATTTGGTGGACGGAGGTCTGTAAGGAACAACCTCCGTCTGAACTCGTTTCCCCCGAGGAGTGGACGCGGTGCGCACGGCGGGTGGCGTCTTGCTGGAGGGCGCAGATCTGTTGCTGCGCCGGGAGGGCGGCCTTTGCTTCACCGTGCCGCGGTCGCCTCAGCGCCGCGCGGGTCGAAAGCTTCGGCTCTCGCAGCTCGGGTCGGTCCCCGATCCGAGCGCCAGGCTTTGGATCGATGCCTCTGCCATCGAGAGCGCTCTCGATGCCGAAAGCTCCCAAGGCCTGGCTTCTGAGACTTTGGCCACTCAAAGGCTCTTGGTGACGCATTGCTTTGCCTAGTCTCAGCAAATCTAGCATACTGCAATGAACTGTTTTGCTTTGTATAGCAAGAGTAAGGTGCTATGCCTTGATGTGGTCGGGCAACAATGCATACCACAACAATGAAGGCAGGTACAGAAAAGTGGAGATGACAATGGTGGTGATGAGAATGACGTTGCCAAACGCATGCGGTGTCGCCATCTACGTGCAATCATCAGCAGAACCAGCGCCATTCCTCATCACCCGCGCAGCCCGAAAATGCTGGCACTCATCATCATTGTCTTATTTCACTTATTTCTTTCCTTTCTTCCTCTGCCGCATCGTTTTCATCTCAAGCATCGCAGCCCATTATCGTCTTATGTTTTGCACCCGCCCTCATTGCAGTGATGCAGATTAACCGCCATTGCGCTTGCCTCACTGCCGACCAGTGAGGGCATCACCAGTGTTGCTCGCATCATGGCGTTATGCAAATCATCAAGGCATAGGGCCTTGCTCTTGCTCATGAAAAAAAGAAGCCATTCACTTAATTCATTGTGGAGCTCTGACTCATTTTGGCGCCCGGCATACAAACTAAAATCTTTAATCTCACGGCAAGAAATCCCGGCAGCCGAATTACGTGGAACTTGCTCGACAGCGAGTTGAGTTGGCCTGAATTGATGCTCAGTGTTTTGAGAAACTTGCAACATTAAATGTGGGAATCTCACTACTGAGGAGCTTCCAACAGAGGTTTCATACAGCTGGAGCACCCGAGATGAATCGAGCGCTTTTTTCCTTGGAGTTCTTTTCGATTTCGGAACCGTGTTCTGTTCGTTGGTCTTGGTTTTTAAGGCCCTTGGGATGTCCATGTTGCCATGTTTAGTTGTTTCTTCTTCTTCTTCTTCTTCATTTTTTTCGTCTTTCTGTTGTCCGAGGTACTGCCTCGGTGGCTCGCTGCGATTGGCCCTGGTGCCGACACAGCCCGGGCTGTGGCTGATCTCCGACGAGGCGGAGCGCGCCACCGCGCCCCGGAGAAAACTCCACGAAACGGGGACGGCCACCGACGCCGTTGAAAGATGAGCCTTTGTCCAACTGGAGCGGCTCAGGTGTCTCGTCTCCATGCGCCCATGCTGGAGAGAGGGTCTTCTCAAGAAAGCTTGGCTCACCGCCTGTGCCTCAGAGTTGGTCAGTCTGCGAGAAGTTGCCACTTGGCCCCTTTGAGGCATTTCTGCGTGCAGCCTTCTCGGGGATTTGCGTTGCACGACTTCGGCTATGCGAGTTGTAGAGGCCGCAAATGCGAGACAAACCGGGATGGGGCACGTCAGGCGTGCGAGGTCCTGAGGTAGGCGATAGGGGCACGGGATCGGCAGACAGAGCGCAGGCAGACAGCTGGGAGACCTTCATGGGGCCTCCAGCCTGACTTTCGGTCCAAAGATGGCTGCCTGCCGAACTAGACGCGTGGACATACGTTTCGCGCGCAAACAGCCAACTGCCCGCGCTCAGATGCTGCCTGAGTTCCTGGCACTGTGTTGCAAGGAGGGAACACTTGCAATTGCGACATGCTTGCGGCCCTCGTGGCTTCCGAGGCTAGGAGGCTTCAGAGGTTGGCTTTTGTTCATCAGACGTCTTTAGCTGTATCGCGGCCAAGTATTTAGAGTTTGTTCGCAGCTAAGGAGTTGTTTGAAAGGGGTATAGAAGTGCTTCATTGAATCCAGTATGTTTCATGTAGCTTGTTGGTCGTTTGCCTGAATGTTCAACCGACCTCCGATCGTTCCAGTGTGAGAGCAGGGTTAATATAAGGTGTTGGTCCTGCTTACTTTGTTCGGTGCGTTTCTTCCTCGTTTGAATGCTTCAGAGGTTAATTTTGTCCATGAGACGTCTTTAGCTGCATACGGCTGAGGAGGTTTCAAAGGCGAATTTTGTCCATCAGACGTGTTTAGTAGTACACAGCTAAGGAGGCTTCAGAGGTGAATTTTGTCCGTTGGGCGTCTTTAGCTGTATGCAGCTAGGAAGGCTTCGCAGGTCAAGTTTGTCCATCCTGACGTCTTCAGCTGTACACAGTTATTTTTGTCAATCGGATGTCTTTAGCTGTATACAGCTAATACGGCTAATAAAGAGGCTTCAGAGGTGAAATTTGTCCATCAGACGTCTTAGCTCATACAGGTAGGGCTTCAAAGGTTATATTTGTCCATTGATTGTATGCGTGCCATGCAGCTTTTTGTGCTCAAGCACGAACAAACTCACCAGTTCTTTGCAGCCTTCTTTTGGCTACGGGCATGTATGATGCAAATTCGCCTGATCCGACTTGTACCAACACAATGTGGGAATTCGTTTGTTTGGCCCAGGCTGAGTGTGACCAACGATGCGTGTGTATGTGAGTTGCCTTTAATTAGTTGAGCTAGCTTCTTTGCCACGCCTGCGTCTCGGGTGATTTTGGTCACGCTCTGGAGCGCATCGCCGCATCGCCGCATCGCTGTCTTTCAGCTTGCGAGACCTCGAGGTCATGGTGCTGGGATCCATGTTCGCCGGGCACGGCGCCCCACGATGAGTTCGCCAGGTTGAGGTGGCAGCTCGCTCGCTGAGGTTATACCCTGCTCCTCCGGTGCAATGGTACTACCCGACGCCCCGGAAGCCAAGCAGGGAGAGCTTCGGCACGAGAAAGAAAAAGTCCTAAAGTCGCTTCGGAGCGCGAGGGAACCTCCCGCAAGGCCTGTCACAGTCGCGCCATGGCTCAGGAATCCATTGGGCATCACCTTCCCAGAAGGAGCTGAGTGCTCAAGCCGATTTCCGCAAAGCTTCTGATGCCCAGGAGAGGGGTCCCCTTCAGAGCGCTTCCCCAGCGGCAGCCGGAGCACAGGCATGGAGTTGCTTTGTCGCTGTTGGCCGTCGCGAGCCGAGGTCGGAGCGACCTGGATGAAAAGGCGGGCGGCGCATGGCCAATGCCCCGATCTTTGGGCGAGGCGCGCTATGCCTGATTGCGCATAGCATCTTGCGAATCCTGTCGAATCCTGCCCGCAGGCCATGCGGTCTGGGCAAAGTTGGCAGCCCAGCTTGCGTGTTTCTCGCTGGGCCATGGCATTTCTTCCGACGCGGCCTGAGGTGAGTCATGCTTGGTGGTGAATGTCGACAGCGCCAGGGCCCTGCATTTGCGACCTGCGCGTTCACGCGATGCACTCCGCGATTCGGAGGCGCTGGACATTGTGCCTTCAGCGCGGAGCCCGGGCGCTCCTTGGGCACAGCTTGCAACGAAAGTCCTGTGCTTGGCACGCGCATGTCGCGTACGCGACCGAGGACAACTTTGGGCTGCACTGCTTCTGTGCACGGACCTCTGCCTTAGCCCGGGCCGCATAGGGGACTTTGTAATGCCAAGGCCACGGCCTACTACCCAGGCCGCTCAGCTCATTCTCCGCTTCATGCACGTCTCACAAATGGCCTAATGGAGAGGGCATTCTTTTCAGGCGCCAAGCACCGAGCCTTTCTCAGGCGAATCGGAAGCAGACATCGAGGCAAGAAAGACTTCGGCAGTGCAGGGAAATCAAAGCCTCAACTCTCCAAACGCAGAGGACCTTGCATAGCCTACCTCTTGTGCCATGTGCCAGATAGCCTCAGGACTGCATTCTGCACAAAACCGTTCTGGTGCCTTACAACTCAAGGTGCGGTTGTGCTTGAAATCGTTTTGCCTGAGTTGGCCAGAAGGGTTGTGAAGGCAAAAGAGGCACATGAGCTCCGAGAGCTTTGGCCCGAAGAGCTTTGGAGCGCTCGCAATGAATGTTAGGCAGCAGCTGCTGATGGTGGAGATCTACGAGGTGGACACAGATGTGGACACCTTGATCGCCAGGCCAGGGGAAAACGAATCCGCAGCATGCCGCATGGGATGCTCTGGGCATCCCATGGCCAGGGCCACGTTGCCCCTGGCGGAGCCGCGCTTGGAGCACACGGCGCCCTGGCCGCTGGTGCGGGGCAGCGACGCCGGCGGCACGTCCGGGGCCACAAGCGAAGACGCGTCGACGGAGAGCGTCGACGCAGCTCGAAGCCGGAAGCCGCAAGCCGCCAGCCGCCAGCCGCAAGCCGACGAGGCTCACGCTGAATGTGAAGTTCCCAGAGGCCGGGTGACTGTGACGCACGTCTCTCGTGGTAGCCGGCTGAAGCCGGGTGAAGCCCCGGTGAAGCCCCGGTGAAGCCAAGCTGTTGGCCAGGACCAAGGCTTTGCAACACCCAAGGCAAGTCCAAAGGCCGTGGATGCTTCGGATTCGATCTGACACTGGCTCCCGCACTCCCAGCTTTTCTGGGCGAAGGGCTGTGAGTGCTTGGTCAGGCCCCCAAAGAGCTGAATCAGGAGCTTGACTTGTGACATTGTTGGCCTGGGCTGAGCACAATGCTGACAGAAGCGCTTTCACGTTTTCGCTTGCACTTCCACATCCGGCTCGTTGCATGTTGCATCTGGCCCAGGAGCTTTTGGACGAAGTATCACCCGAGAGAAACAGCCACACGCTAAGGGGTTTGAAGGGGGGGGTTTGAGAGGAGGGAGACATTCGGAATTCGGAGCGCGATGAGCGAGGTGCTTGCCGCGGCCTCGCTCTTCCAGGCCTGACTTTTCACGTATTTTGTGACATGTCGGCGGACCATCAGACTCTGAGATGTGACAGGGGACGACGCAATGGGCGGCTCGGAGGCTCGACTCTCGCGCCATCGGAGGCTCGGAGGTAGCCGTCGGGCCTGAGGTGAAAGGCTTCCCCGCGCCCATCTCCCCGGAAGGCCACGCAACGTTTCGCAAGGTTTAGACGTGAAGGATGTCAATGTGCTTGAGATACAGGTGACTACGTCAAGTCCAAAGGCGCGTCCGGTGGCTTTGGCATGACTCAGTCGACAAACTCCTAGTTGGGACCGACGGATGCTCTGCACGTCGTTCCTCTGCTGGCCTGACATTACAGCCAGTGCACTGGCAGCAAGGCTCAGCCCAACCTTTTACCACGGCCTTTTTCCAAAGCGAGCAGTCCAGAAGGACCCTGGTTTTGCGGGTCCTTGGAATGCTTCACCCGTACTGTCAGCAAGGGTTGTTGCTAGCATGAGGTGCCGGGCTGCTTAACTCGCATTGAGTTTTTCCGGACAGATGCATTTTGAACGATGCTTGATTGTGATGCTGCCTGTGTGCCCATAATGCGGACTACCTCATTGCGATGCTGTCTGCGTCTTGGGGCGTCGAGCGTTGGCTGGATGACACACGCTCATGCGAGCGACGCGTTCCTGGTTGCTAAAGTCAATCTAAAGCAGTCGTGTTTCTTGCTTGCCCTGCCAACAAACGGTGTGCAACTATTTGAGGTGTACGCAGGTGTACGCAGGTGTATTTCTTGTCAAAAGCTGGATTGCATTGGGGCGCTTCCGCAGCATTGCCGCGGTTTTTCCTTTGTGTCTCGGCAGGTATTGCAAAGTCCCTGGACAAGGACTTCAAAGACCTGAAGCCAGGCGGAGCTGACGAGACATGGACCTCAGAGACTGGGAGACTGTCAGGTCTCTTCGACACCTTGAGCGGAGGCGTGGACCTTGTTGAAAGCATTGGGCACTCCAATGTTGGAGGCTTCCTGGACCTTTGGGTGCCCTTGACCGGCCTGGAGCTGACCGATTCAGAGCTTTGCGGCGTCTGCACCGTGCCCGAGGCCCTCCGCCCTCGCTGTGGCTGAAAGGCACGCGCATTTGTGGGCAAGTCGGACGCTTTCGTTTGCCCAGTGGCCCAGCACGTTTTCGCAGCGAGTCGGCCGCGAGGGGACGTTGGAGGCTTCCCCCCGCTTCCCCCTAGAGGCGCGAAGGGAAGCAGCAAACAAGTGGCGGAGGTGAGGCAAGGACTGTCAAGGCGCCGCAGTGGCCGCAGGTCGACCAGCGTCGGACAGATATGGGCACTTTGAAGGAGAGGCCTTCAATATCGCCCTAGTTCAGTGGCTTTCTCGGCACGCAAATGTGTTTTTTTGCATCCCGCAAGCTTTGCCAATCGAAGCAAGTGCGTGCGTATGCTTTCGGATGGTTCACATGTTCTGACACTTGGCATGCGCAGCTTAACAAAAGACGAGCCTCGTGATTGCGGCGCCTCGCAGGACCGGGTTTCGGCCACGACAGAGGCTGGAGAGATCTTGCTGGAAGGCCGGCGTGCTGTAGTCACAGGCCAGAAGACCCCGGCTCCGAGACAGGACGGGAGTGGGGCAGCGGGGGAGCGGGGGAGCGGGATGGATGGTTTTGCACCTCGCTTGGCTTTATGTTTCTGGTAACCTCCGACCTATGGCTGAAGCTGCAAAGGCGGTCGCGTTGCGTTGCAGTCAAGACTCTAACAGGATGTTTACTCTGTTTCGTTCAAGGTTTTATCGCCTTAAACTAGCAGATCATGCAGCCTTGCAAATGATGGCAACAGGTGAGTTGAGCACTGCGGCTTTCAATGGAGCGCCCTCATCTAATAAGATAGTCTTTGGCTATCCTTATGTGCAGTGTCCTTTTCTAATTCGTCGGCCAGCTTGCCAGGTACGAAGATTGGTGATTGATTATTCACAAACGGAGAAATGTGTGGGACAAGGAATGGGGAAACTCAGTTCGCTGCTTGAGAAACACGCCGGTGACAGGCAGTTACTGGGCTTCTTTGGCAGGCAACAGGACGCGCGCCTGCGCCACCCGTGCCAGCGCCGCCCGTGTCCCGAGCCCCAGGCAGGGCAGTCGCGGGCGCCGTCGCGTCCATTTGGAATCTGGCTTGGGAAGCCCTTGAAGGCATCATGTCCACGATGTCGATGTCCACCATGTCCACGACATCCACTATGTCCACTGTGACCTGGCCGACACCAGCCAGGACAGCAGCTTGCTTCCGGCTTCATTTGCTTGACATACCCTGCACATACGGTCGAGCCTGTTGATGCGTGTCTCCAGCGCTGTTGCCAGTATGGCACGCCCAGCGACCTTCGTCGCTGCGGCCTATGCCCCGCAAGGCAGGGCCGTTGGCAGCTTGGGACGTTGCAAGCTTCTGACCTCCGATCTTGGCATCTTGGGATCTTGGGATCTTGGGATTGGGGAGGCATGCGGCTGCAGCGGCCGGTGCCCTCCCAGGAGCTTCGTGGCAGCGGGCGCAGACCATCCGCATTGAAGGACCTCGGCAGCTCTCGGCGGGACGATTTCCGGGACGATGGCTTCCGGGGCTCCGTGACCGCCGTGAGGCTGGTGGTTTGAAGTCATCTGAATGCAAATCAGTCGCCCGGTGACAGGACTGGGCCTGTGCCGCAAGTGGCTGCAGGCAAAGACATGGTCTCATGACCGTCCCGGTGAGTACATGTCCAATGTGACGTTTCGGCGCTTTGGCAGGCTCACGATCGTGGGTGCCTCCCCCAAACTATGGAGGCAACCTGAGAGCTGCGCCATAGCCACGCGACACCATGCGACCTTGTGAAGTTGACCAAGTTAAGCGGGCGATGCGTCGATGTGGAACAGTTTCGCATTCAGACTTCCAGGTGGAATGCCAATGCTCTCCTTCCAGCCGGCAGTTGGCCCAGATTTGGAGCGGAAAGCCAGGGCAATGGCAAGGGAATGGGTTTGCCTCCCGAGTGCCGAGAAGCCGGTGTCTCCACGTGCGACGTGGCTGAGGCTTCTACTGGGCTGCGGTCAGCATACTACGCGGTGTGCTGACAAAAAGCGCGGCTGCCCTTTGCGTGGGCGAGAGAAGTTGCGAAACCGCGAAGCAGTTGCCGCAGGGGGATCTTATAATATTAATTTCCATTAATTTCCATAGCATATCTGATTTCGACATTGCAGTGCGTTTTGGATCGCTCCAGTGATGTCGCTCTGGGTCACCTGAATTCGGCTAGTCGCAGTTGAGGTAGCATCATTTGTTTTCCCCGAGTGCCGCGTGTTCACTGAGTCACTGAGCGAAGCTTGTTGCAAAGTTTGGCTACAGGGCTACAGCACCACAAGACGGACGGACATACACGTTTTGTAAAGGAGAACTCGCAGCAAAGCACACTTGGTTGGAGGGATCCTTGGCGTCTGCCATGTGTTCCGTGGGCCCTACCGAGCGTTTCATCGGTTGAGCACTCTTGCTGCAACCAGGCTGGCACACAGCGCAAGCACAAGCACACGCACACGCAAATGCGCACGCACACACACACACACACACCTACACCCAGGTGCGTCAAGTCCTGACACTTGGAAGTGGTGCAATCTGCTCAAGAGCGCTTCTGCGTAAACGTTTTGAGTGGAGATGCAAACAGCGCTGAAGTGCGCGGTGAGGCTTGTGAGGCTGCAGCCTCTCCAGTTCTGTTTTGCTCATTTGGCTCTTGAATTCTCGCTGCACTTGGATGCAATGTTTCGCTTTGAGAGGGAGCCGGCACCGATGCCGCTATGAGCCGACAACAAATCAAACAAGGCTCCATTGTGGCACGCCGCTCGTGGTGCACTTTTTGCACAATGATGGTGGCGCAGAACGAACCATTGGCTTGAACCAAGATTGCGTTATCACGAAGGTAGGTCTCCGACCAAACTCAATCTGGCGCCTGGCTCTTGTTCTGCCAGCTGAATACGGTCGATGGCAGTCGGCGAGAGCAGAACACACAAACGGCACAAGCACAAGAAAGAGAGAACACGCAAAACCCACAAACTACAAAAGCACAAGACACACACACACAGACATGTAAACACGTAGGACAAAGAACCACGAAGCACAAAGCGCGCTAAACCACAACTGGAGCAAACATTGGACGCTTGAGAGGTCGGCTTGGTCCTGGAGGCAGTTGTGTTGCACGCAAGCTCATGCGCAAACTGTGCATGGCCTTTGGTGAAATATGTCAGATTTAGCTTGTCTTCGCACGAACAGTTCCGGCAAGTGTTGACAAGTCTCTGTGACATGTGCCTCTGCGCAGAGTGGCCAGCACGGTCCGTGGTGGGTGGCAGCCCTGCATGGGGCTTGGACCTTGAAGGAGCAGTTGTTCTTGGCTCTCAAAATAAGAAAGCCACGCGGTGGAAAAAGGCGCGCGAAAACGAGACACATCAAACAGGTCAGCTGCCCCGCCTGGCCTGTCCAGCTGCTTCAGAGGACGCTCACCGTGGCAAAGGGTGGGGACATTTGCAGGCCCGCAAGGCCGCCGGCAGCGCCTTCCGCGGCACGCCGGAAGCCCCTGGGCCGGCGCTTGCAGGAGTCTTCACGGGCCAACCGCAGCACTTGCTGCGCTCTGGCGCCGATTGCTTTGCGCGCTCGCTTGCCCCAGGCCAGCTTGGTGCTGTAACACCCGGTCCTTCTGTTGCTCTCGCTTGGCCTCACCGTGGATTTCGCTGTCGCTCATGACACAGCCTTGCTGGACTGTTTGTCGGACTTGCTCTTTCCGCTCGTCGCGCTTCTGCCCTTGCGCCTGGGTCCGCTGCAAATTCAGCCCCAGCCGCTTACCGGGCTTCTTGGGCTGCTAGCTTGCCTGTTTACCGGCGCCAGCTGTGCTTGCAGGTAGCTGCTGTGGTGGGCTTGGCACAAAATTGTCGCTGGTGCCGAGCCTTCTCCTTTACCCGAAGACTCCCGCCCGGGGCCAGCTGCCAGTTGCTTGCTTGTGTTGCAGCAGGGTCGGCTGTTCACCGTCCTTCTGGTCCTCCCTCAGTTGTCAGTCCCAACTCCAGTGCCATCGCCACCTCAACCCCTTGGCGACCAGCGCGCGCTCAGCCGCGGTTGCCCATTTGAGCGAGCTGCTTGGACTCGGCACGCCCATCGGCGCCCCGGAGTTCGTGGCCGCGTGCGCGAGGGAGCGCCTCGAGCAGGAGCGAGGCTTGCTGGCGGAGCTGCCGCAGCTGCCTGACTTGCAGTGTGCTTGGCTTCTGCTCCTCTTTTGCGCCACGCCTAGGGCGCAACACTTGCTCCGCACCGTGTCGCCTTCCCAGTCGGCAGCCTACGCGGAAGCGCATGACCGCGCTGTCTGGGACACTCTGCAAGCGCTCCTCGGCGAGCGCGGCGCCGCTTGGCCGGAAGCCCGCCGCCTCGCTTTTCTTCCAGCATGATGGCGGCCTTGGCCTGTTGTGTGCCACACGCGCAGCGCCTGCCGCCTATTGGGCGGCCTGGGCCGGCTCCTTGCCGGTCATGCTCCATGCGGCGATGCGTGCGGGAGCTCCTTGTGGACGACGAAGCTGCCGCCCCTTGCCTTCGCGAGGCGGCCGTGGCTGGCGACTTGCTCCTGCCACTGGCCCGAGCGTCCGTTGGCAGGACATCCTGGCAAGCACGGCCCCTCTGGCTTTAGCGGCTGACAGTGAACCAGGCGATTGGCCGCATGGCTGGCAGCTTCCGCGCGCTCAACGCCACTTTTGGGCTGGCGCCGCAGGTGGCGAGCATTGCTCAGCGCCTTGCAGCGCGCCCTCGCTTGCACTCTGCTCGGGGGGCGGTGGTTTTCTCTCGCGCGGCCGGCCGCCGATGTCCTTGCTTTGGCCGGCCCCTCCGGGCCCAGCCTCTTGCCTTTGCGCGGCTAGCCGCTCGCCTTTCTTGGCAGCCATTTCGGGCGGGGGGGGGCTCGGGTTCCGGGCTCCATGTTTCACCGAAGTTAAACGGAAAAAAATCAGTCCCTCGACGCTGCGCCAAAAAAAGGACTTACCGTGAGATCCTTTACCGCCTTGTCGTCGTCGGACTTGAAGTGGGTGGCCGCTGGAGCGCCGAGGCCGCGCAGTTTGCCTGCTTGCTTGCCCGGGCCCTGACTTGCAAGCCTTTTGTGCCGCAGCGGAGCAAGACCTCCGCGCAGGCCGGGCCAATGTCCGAAAACAGCGAGGAAAATCAAACAAAACGAGGGACCGACCCCGTCATCAACGATCAGCCGCCTCGGGGGGACCGACCCCGTCACCAACGGTCCGCTGCCATTGCTGTTTCTTTTTCTCGCGCCTTTTTCCGTGTGCTCCCGCAGGCCACTTATATACCGGCGGCCCCCGGATGTAGGGGGCGTTAATGGGGCAGCCATTTGTATACCGGCGGCTCCCGGCTGTGCGGCTCACCGGCCGGGCAAGGCAAGATCAGCCAGCAAGGTGCCGAGGGGAGGCAGGGTGCCACCCCCGGCATTGCAAAGCTCCGGCCCGGCAGCCTGCCTGAGAAGGGACGAAGCAAAGGCTGTCATGGCTGCATGGGTCAGCTGGGCCGACCACCTGGGAACAAGAGCGCCGACAACACTGGGGCGCAGCAAGGACCGGATGAAAGAGGCGGAAGGACAGGCAGACAACCCGCCCAAGACGCCCAATACGCTGAGCAGCAGACAGCAAGCCAAGGCCACCGAGTGACAAGGGCAACTGGGCGATCCTTCGCGCCTGGTCTGGAAGACAGTCCACACCGAGAAAGTCCGCGAAAGTGGACAGAACAGCCAAGTCGTGGGCGCCGGCGTACTCGGCCATGACGGACAAGACCAGCATCTGGAGGAGGTGGTTGCAGCGGGGAGAGCAGCACAAAAGCAGCAACAACCAAGAGAAGCTCGGGCAAATGTGCAGGAGCTGGTCATGGCTGGCTCGCGACTGAGTCCGGACAAACTCGTCAGAGCCAAATGAAGAACCCAAGAACCGTAAGCCCTTGTTCTGCGTCGGGCAAACGCCCAGCTCCAACCTAACAGGACAAGTCCGGCGTTCAAGGCTGACCAAGGTCCCCACCAGGAAGTGAACAACGCCTTTTGCTGGGAAAAAAACACGGGAGACCAAGCGACGGACGAACAAACCGATCGAGGAGCACGCGGGAGTTAGTTCAAGGTCCGAAGCACGGAGTAGGTTGGATAGGACGAGAAGGCGTGCTGGCAGGGGAGAAGGAGGGGAGGGTGCGTGTAGCGGCTCGTAACCTCCAATGCGCAGCCGCTGTCCACGTCCAGGACATCCTGCACGCTGTGCAGGTCCACCAAGCCGTTGCCGCAGCTGAACGCCAGCTTGCCGCTCTTGAGATGCCTTGCTTAGTGTGCTACAAGCATCCGCAACACTCCCTGCGTCAGTGTTCCCGCCTTTGGGCCGTCTACGCTTTCCGATGGATACATCGTAGCCGTTGCGCAGGAAGTGTTACGCTCCGTGAGCGTGGGGCCGCGAACAAGCCACCGAGGTCCCTCTCAACAACTACCAGCGCCTCGGGATGCTGCCAGCACAAGCGCGACCGCTCGGTCTGCGCCAGCCACCACCTGCTTCGGCACAGCGAGATGGGTCATGCCCCGAATCAGGACCTTCCTTCGTTGCGGCCCTGCCTCACCATGCGGGGAGTGCCGCCCCCCCTTTCTGCGCCGAACATGGTCCTCGGGTGTTTTTTGCTGTTGATGTCGCGTCCCGGCAGCAGACGGTTGTTGCCGCACTTGTTGCTCATGCGGGCACGGATGCATAGGCTGCAGGGGTGATGGCAGCGGAAACTGTTTTTCTGGGTTGTTTAGTTTTCTTTTTTGCCTTTTTGCACCGCCTGACTCTGCCCGGAAAAACCCTTCAAGGGCCCCCGGGCACAAGGGGTCTTGGCGGCTGTTTTTTTGGAGGCCAGCTTTTGACGTGCACCAAGCTGGCCATTTATATCCCGGCGGACCTTGGCCCAGTGGTCACAAAATCAGGATCATGGTCTCTTCTCTGCCAATAGTCATACAGCTGAACATTGCTGGCAGCTGTCCATCTTTCAGGGTCGTCCGAGGCACTACACGGGCTTCAAAGGCACATCGTGCGGCTCAGCCGCAGT